ATGTATAAAACTTCGACACCACAAGAAACACAACAAAATTCACCAAACTCAACCCGGCCAAAAGCCCGAAAAAATGATCAAGTCTACCATAGTTTAAGTTATCAGGTAACCAACCAGGACCACCCTTCATAGTAGTAACCTTTGTAACGATAGTAACAAGCAAAGAACTTAAGTACTGTCCAAGTGCAACAGTGAGTAAAGAAAGAGCAGAACAAAAACTTCTCATTGCATCAGGTGCTTGTTCATAGAAGAATTCCAATTGACCAATAAACATGAAAACTTCAGCACAACCTATAATGAAATAAGGTGGAACTTGCCAAAAAATCGACATAGATTCTCCGTGTCTCACCTTTTTAAGTCTATAATACTCCAATGTGAATGCATATATCATTGAGAATATTGATATGAAGAGACCTGTTCCCATTCTTTGAAGCTGAGTTAGGCCATTTTGTTTGCCAGTAAATTTTCTAGCTATTGGAACAATGATTCTGTCATATATTGGGACCCAAAATATGACACTGAGTATATCAAAGATTGAAAGTGAAGCTGGTGGGATTTGAAAATTTCCTAAATGTGTGTTCATGGCTTCTCCTTGTAGTACAAAGTAGTTGCTCATTTGACCATAAACTGTTGCAAATATTATGCCTGTTGCCCATATTGGAAGCAATCTTATAATTGCTTTTAGTTCTTCCACTTGTGTTATAGTGCAAAGTTTCCATGGGTTTGTTGAGTCCTTCAAATTCTCCGAGTTTTCTAGCACTGCTGCTTTGTCAAAGAATCTGTTACACATAGGGAAAAAAAAGTGTAAACTATGTAGGACGGACAATTCGAATTGAAAGTGTTCGAAAGGAAGTGATGAAAGAATGTGCATAAATTATTCATGCAGATCTGTTTTAAGTTTTTGGAGGCTGAAAGTTAAGCACGATTTAAGCGTGACAAATTAAATAGGGATCTTATTTTGTCATGGTTTAACCTTACAAATATTTTACAAAGCACTTTTTAACCACATTTTAGATGTGATAAATTTTAGGCCATGTACGGCAGTCTATCTTGCATGGCCTCTAAGATGGCTTTGTTCATGTTGGTTTACCTTAATCCATTTGAGTGATGAAGCTTGCGGCTTCCTTGGATAGTAGACAAAGTCTCTTGAGTTTCATACAAGAGAGACTCATCGTTAGATACTTCAACACGATACTTCCTTATCGACGCGACTATGACCTGACAAATGCGAGTAACGGGGCTACCTCCTGGCTTCTGATTCCGATATAATCTTGTGCCTGAAAAGAAACTTACAACAGCAATCGCCATGGCGATTGCTGGAATGCCGAATCCCAATCCCCAACTCACATTGTCTTGTATCCATACCAATAGAGAAGCAGCAATAAGAGCACCAATGTTGATTGAGAAATAGAACCAATTGAAGAATGAACTCTTGTGTTCTTTCTCAACTTCATCTGCGTCATCAAATTGATCTGCTCCAAATGACGAGACACAAGGCTTGATTCCACCGGTGCCGAGAGCTATAAGGTAAAGAGCTACAAAACATAATGCACTTTGTTCATGTGTAGCATGGCAATCATCTTTTGTATAGCAGGTTGGTTTTATGCCAGGAACCGATGCAGATAATGTCAATAGTGTCATTCCCTATGCAGAAAGAGAGAGGTTATTCAATGTTATGAATCTAAAAAATCTTTGAAACCGGCATGTAAGGTGGGAGATGTATCTCAGAAATAAAAGAAGTATACTCACAATAACATAAACAATTGAAAAACAAAAAATGGTCCAAAATCTTCCAAGATAGGCATCAGCCACAAATGCTCCTATCAATGGAGTGATGTAGCATGTTCCACCCCAATCTGCAGCATTCTTGGAAGCAGTAGCACTATGTTGATGCAGCTGATACTTAAAATAACGCACCAGATTTGTACTCATCCCATAGAAAGCCAATCTCTCACAACATTCATTTCCTGTAGTCAATAAAATTAAAATTTACAAAATTAATACTTCAAAAGACACTCCCCTCGTCGTATTTATAAGAAAAAATTAAATAAAACACAATTTAAAACTATGTGGAGAAGGATGATACACATTAGTTACCTAAAATAAAGGGACATGCTCTCCATGTTCCAGTATTTCTTTTGTTAGCCGGTTTTCCAAGGTAATCTACTGTTCCATCTTTTGTGCAAACATCATACTCCTCAGCCATTGTGTAATTCAGGCCTTGGATATTTTCTCAATTAAAATTATGGATTTTATGTTATAATGTTCGATAAAATTGAGATAAAAATGATTGTATTTTTAGTGTGAGACAAGGATGACGTTATGTTCAAGGAATTTCAAGCTGTCATATCCTTGCAACAAGGAGGTTCTTATGCTTAATTTACCATATTATATAGTGAAGCAAATTTTGAGAACAACATTTATTTGTATAAAAATGCAGTTAAAAAGTATTTGATAACATTGTTGGGTTTATCATTGCTGGAAAAGGGATATCTATAGAGAGCCAAGGCCAAATAAGTTTTATTCAAATGAACAATCTTATTCCTTTATCAAATCATTATTTAGTTAAAAAAATTTTTTAATAATCAAATATATTAGTAATTATTGTGAAATTGATAGGACAATTAAAATCACTTTAAAAAATTATCGAGAGTTCAATCACAACAAAAATTTGATGTGTGGAATAAAAAACAATGACAATCAAACAAATAACTTTAAAACGATGCAATAAATGAGGATGACTCCCGATTTATCTCTCTCTCAAAAGGTACTACCAATATCTTTGTCACTAGAGGGGTTTCGGCAACAGGTCTCTACTGCTAATGCATATGGAAATTCTGGATTTATATTGATCTTGTTATGGTGGAAAATATTATATGTATGTCACAGTCCGATGGTGGCGGGAGTCCGATCCTTAGTCATAAACTTTATGTGCCTCAAGTAAAAGGATCATTTGTTAAGCGTCTCTGACTACTAGCGTGGAACTTAAAAAATCCCCAACCCCGACCAAGTTCCCTCTTATACTTTTATCTTTCCCCGATTTGTGGATGGCTAGGGAGTTTCGCGCCTATAAATAAGAAGAAGAGTACTTATACTTCTTAACAAATCAGAGGATACTTGTCAAGAGGAATTATCAGATTTAACTTATTATACATGTTGGGCATTAGTTGTCTTTACCTTCGGTGCTACCAGGTAAGGAGATGTCTTTTTGCTTGATCGCCTTCATGGAGAAAAATGAGATACTTCAAGATCGTTTCAGTGTCGTTATCATCGAGCGAGATCAATCTCAAAAGAGCTTCAAGGAGTAGATGTCTTGTTTTTGGGGATAAAAATTATTGTAAAATCCTCTGGGTCCCATAAGTCGCCTGCTGAGAAGGTAAAATTATTTGTTCATGAAGTGACAAAGAAGAATGAAGTTTTAGCTTCTGCCTAGGAATCGTTATCTACGACAAAGGTTGCTCTTGCTGAAGTCAACCGAGTGTTGGACCCTTCTCAAAAAAAGGTAAAAGAGCTTGAGAAATATTTGAAGGAGTCACTGAAAGGTCAAAAGAAGGCCGAAGACGGTATTCAGGAGATGTGTCTTAAGAATATCGCATTGGTCAAGAAGTGTATGTAGTTAATGGAGGAGAGTTACTCTACTATATATGATTTTTTTTAAAATGCTTTGCAGCACGTAGAACATTTCTATCCCCCAATACATATTTCACAATAGAAAGTTTATCTTGATCAAATGATGGAGAATGAAAGTCAGTATCCATCAAGGATTAATCGGATGTGTGGTACTCCTTTTCCTCTCTCTTTTTGTTATGGTGTGCATGTACCCATTGTACTTGTATTTTCATTGAAAAAATAAACTTTATGGCTCCTTCTTTTGTAGTGTTCATTTCAATTTTAGTTTCTTTTACCATTATTTTTTAATTGTTTATATGATATTGATTTAAGTTCCAAGTTTGTTTCTTTATGAGTAGCTTATTTTTTGAGGTCATGCTCGAAATTTTATTGGACATCTCTAGGGGGTCGTACTTGGCCTAGGGTCGACATCTTTCCTGCCCCGAGATGAAATTTTAGTTTGAGATTAATATAGTAAGTACTAATCATGGCCTCTAGAATGGCTAGATATCAAGAGGGAGTTTGCTTGTTATTATATTTTATTCTTCAATTTTAAGAATTCTGGCATGAGAGGTCAAGAGACATGGACTTTAATTAAATTTGGGCATAATTATATTTGAGAAAAAAGAAAATAAATAAAAAGTATAAAATATTTTTATATTGTGAATCAATGAAAGACATGTATTACAATAAATTCTAATTTTATTTTTAAAATACTGAAATGACATGACAAATATAAGAGTTTTGATTAATTGTATGTGTACAATTATTTTACACTCAAAGTGTATTTTCTTTAAACTCAACTTTTTTAAGAATAAAATATCATTAACATAATTATAAATTTAAAAAAAATGGCGTGGAATATAATTTGATAAATGTGGCATGACAAGTCATTCAACCCAATGTCATATCAATAATCGGTACTTCGTCTCATAATAAATATCTAATTTGAATACGGTTTTTAAAAAAATTATTAAATGTGTTAATTTTAATGATAAAGTTAATATTATTTACTAAATCACTTTTATTTATTTTAGTTAATGAAATAGTTGAAAAACATAAAAGTTAATAAATAAGGATATAATAATAAAAAATAATAATAAATATTATATTGATATTTTAAAGATATGTTTATTTTAAAACATAAAAAAAATGTAAATGAGACACTTATTATACGATAAAGAGAGTATTAAATTGGAGAGACATGGAGAAAATGAAAAATGAAGAGGATGTTAACTCCAAGTTGGGAGGGACTAAAATTTATTTAAGAAAATTAAGAAGAACTAAAAACCCAAATTTTAAAGAAACCATTGCCCCTAAAAAAACTACACACAGAAACAAGAAAGAGCATCATCATTCCGTATTCATCGGAGCCTCACATATCAATCTCGATGCCTCGTAAACGCTTCGGAATCCAGGAACCCCAAACAGGTATCTTTCTAACTACCCATTAAAACAATCATAACCATCCACTTTTGGACCTCTAACCCTTACTTTTATATAATCCATCATCGCACACAAGGTGTTCGATGAAATGTTTGACTCAATATTCTTCTATCTTTTACTGCAGCTATACAACATGCCCAATACTATCTGAAGAAAATAGGACTAGGGCCAAATAACTACTACTTCTGGAAACAAACCGGAAAGGCTTTGATATGCACCTATGCAGTGATGGGTGCAGCGTGGTTATATAACGAGACATCCCCGTTGGGTTGGTGGACGCTGAAGCCAATGCCAAAGGAAGAGAAAGATATGGCTCATTTGTACGAGCGGCGCCAGTTTCCGTATCCCGGTGATGCGGAAGCTATGGAGGAGTTTGTTAAACAGGGTGGAATGATTGGAACAACTATTGGACCTAAAGGGATGGTGGAGAATGATATGGATGAAAGTGATTATAAGAAGGAGCTTAAGGATAAGAAGTTTGAGCAGGAGGCTCAGAAGCTTTGGTTGAGGATGAGGAATGAGATTATTGCGGAGCTTCAGGAGAAGGGTTTTGAAGTAGAATGAATGCATTGGCGGATAAAACACAGAATTTGTGGATATATTGAATGTTATGTTTTCAATAAATCAGTAAATGGAAAAGACTAATATATTTCTTCTTCTTTCATGATGGAGTATTATTTTTAGGTGACTAGTGTTTCTTATATTGCTTTTTCTCTTATTGGATTTGGCTTCCTTTTGCCTTCTTATTTGTATCTTTAAGTAATGGATTGCAGCATATAATTTTGTTAAGAGGGTGATTGTTGCTTTGTAGGTAAAGATCAAGAGCACACTACTCATCACTTTCTATTAAGATAACCATCCTGTATATTAAGATCAAGAGCACACTACTCATCCACATATTGTCAGATTTCTAAATGCTAAAGATACAACAACAATTTCAGATTTCTAGTCCTCTGCTCACCACTTTGAAACTTGAAACTGGTGTTGGACCATTTCTGTAAGCCATTTACTTCAATTCTCTCACCATTTTGTTCAACCATTTACCATATACACATAACAGTGATGCAAAACTTTGCTTTTGCAATTCACATTCAAGATGCAGCTCCACACTTTCTGCAATACACAAAGTGGCCCACTTCAGTTTTTAGATTTACAACTCAGTCACAAAGCTTCAAACTTGTGTTAGACCTTTCAATTTGGTCAAATTCAATGAAGCAATTTGTATCCTCCGGCGCTCAGTTCCTATAGGTTTAAATTGGTCACCTCCCGTAACACATCCCCTTGCTATTTGGTCCCAGAAACAACCCAAAACATCCTCTCTATTATTTGGTCGCGAAGCATGAGTTTTCCATTGGCCACCCAATTTGAGAATTGTTTTCATTGGTTAATACACAAGTCCTATGCCCCTGTTATGGGATGTGACGAATTGCGTTGAGCCATAGTTCCAATAGATGGCAACATGGCAATAAGAGTGAAATCTTAGGAAAGGAGAAAGGTAAACAGAAGAAGCGGATTCATTAGGAGGAATCTTCTGCCTTCTTGAGTTCAATACTACTTGATTTTGAACTGTAACAATATGCACAAAGCCAACTACATAGAAATTACGTATAATTCTTGTTAAGTTGCCTATTAAATATGGGATTAAATATGTTTTTGATCCTTATAAATATTTTAAATTTTATTTTTAATTTCTATTAAAAAAATAATAAATTTTGGTCTCTAAATTTTTTTTGTTCATTTAGTATTAATTCCTGTTATTTTCTAAAATTTTAAAAACCGTTTAATTACTCTCGAACTATTAAATTTTTTAATAATATTTTCTATACGTGTTTAGAATATTATAAAATGTTTCTTTATCAAATTTTAGAATTTTTTAAAATGAGAAGAATTAAATATGATTTTTTATTTATTTTCAAAAGATAATAATAAAAATAATGAAAATCTCGACTTAGAAATTAAATTTTAAATTTTTTTTTTCCAAATTTTTTTTTATAACGTTTTAAACATGTCTACAAAATAATCATTTAAAAATACACATTAATTTAACAACATGGACTAAAACTACGTATTTTGTAAGGACTAAAACTTATCATCATTTTAATACATTTAACTTCTCAAATACCAAAGATTGGTTTTTCCTATCCCCAACTACCACTTCCTCGCGTTTTACATACAACAAAAATACTCAATAAGCAATTCTCAAATATCCTCAATAAACAATGGATACAATTGTATTTCACAAAATATGATCCCACCATTAATGCAGATGGAATTTCTGTTTTTTATTTGTTTTTACTCTGATTTACAAAATGTCAAATTATGTGCACATCTAGAATTTGTGCGATTATGACGGATTTATATCCTCTCATGCATTGTTCTCTCATGTTTCTATTCAATTCTAATATCAATCATACATTTGTCTCCTTTCTCATACTTTTGTTTTTTCTTGATAGATTAATCAACTATTGAATTAAAAAATGAGAGATGACAGCAAATCCAATATGACACACGCCTAAATCTATATTTTTTTTAAAACCTTGATATTTCTCATCTATGTCATACATCTTTTTGAGAGTATATTATACATTTTTGACCGTTTCTTGCTCAATTATCTTCTTAAAGACATTAAAATCCACACACTAATAGATCAAAAATAAATCTTTTATTTTTTTCTTCTTCTTTTCACTATGAGTAGCTCTTTATATCTCAATAACATTTGTCTATGATGTTAAGAAATCATTGAATTTTTAAGTAAATATTGAAATTTGAATATGACTTTCATCTGTGCATATCATTTACTCTCTCTGTTCTACAATGAGTGATGCAGCCCATCATTTTACATATATTAAAAAAGTATAGAAAAGTAAGAGAGTGAATAATATTTTTACTATAATACCCCTAATCATGTATAAGAAATGATGAAAGTTTAATTAATTAAATAATATAATTGAAAAAGTGTGTTGAAAATTGAAATGGATCTTTCATTTTAAAATAATATTTTATTTCAAATAGAACACTCATTATAAAGCAGATGGAATATTATAGTGTTCTCCCTTGATTAGTGCTAAATTGGTTGGGAATTAATTGGAGTTTGTAATTCGAGGAATTTAGAGATAATTAAAGGCAATTGAGAGGAGAGATTTATTAATGAATGGATATCATACAAATACAGTAGAGTGAGCTATTTATATTGGTTAGACAACTCAAAATCAATTAAACTAATTGTTGGCTGAAGATTTTGATAATATTATTAGAAGCCAAATGAATTAAACGTTTCGATCGAAATGAAGTAAAGTGTCATGTTTCGAAGTAGCAGAAGCAGTGTTTCGAATAAGCATGTCAAAGCTTGGAGCTTCGAGTGGCAATTATAGGAACATATCTAAAGAAGTCTCGAAATAACAACAAGGCTGTGTCTGGGAAGTGCGTTCGAAACGGAGAAATACCAAAGCATTTGAAATTCAAATGGAAGCGGGACATTCGAAGTTTGAAATTTATGTGCTGGAGCATTTGGAGACACGTGGAAAGAAGAAAGAGGCATTGTTCTGCATGTTCTGAACGTGGCATAATCCTATAGCAAGACTGTTATGGTCGAATTAGTATAAATAGAAGTCTTAGTATTAGGATTTCATGTGTCATATCTATTGTACTAAATCCTCAGTAACATTCAAACTACCACATGGCAAGGGAAACGAATGCAAGAGCAATGTACGTATGATAGCACCATATGTATTTATGATTTAATGAAAACCTTTTTACCATTTCCAGCACTTTCCTTTATCTTTCTGTCAAATAACATTTACAAGTTTTCTCATTTACAGTCTTTTCACTTCGAAATCTCTTCATTAAAGTTTTACATTTCAATGCTTTCTTCACATTTCAAGCACTTTACATTTCAGAAAACTGTCATACATTCCATGCCTTTACCTTCAAGCTTTATCCTTCGAACGCATATTTTTACTTAAAGTCATTTACAGATTTCTTGCATTAAACGCTTTCTTCATATTTCGAACCTTTTACGTTCCAGAAATCCTTTACATTAACTGTTTTTATAATTCGAAACCATTTACTTGCCTTTTATGCAATTTTACATGTCTTTACAATTAACATTTATTCATGCAACTTAGTTTCGTACACGCACATTTTGATTACATCTTTAGACCTTTAAGAGAGAAATCGAAATAAGCCAAAACACCTATACAACACTCAAATATCAATCATGAATATCTGTTCGATCATGAGAGTTACCCTAATGACCAAGGAATCCTATGATCAATCTAGTCGATCCTGTGAGTTACCAGAGGAATTGAATAACAGTCAGAAAGATTATTCGATAGTTTGGAAGACTAGCGGTTGTTTACCAGAAATCACTGGAAACAAATTGGCACACCTGGTGGGACCAATAATTGGATATTAGAAATAAAGATTGTTGAGACATAACCATTATAAAAACGTTGGAACCTAAGAAGTTTGTTGTTTTATGAACCTAAGAAGTGGTAAAATAACCAACAACAACCAACCTTTATCTAGAAGAAAACGTTTGGACAAAATGTCTAATTCTGACAATCAACAAGGGGAACAAAATGCCCCACATACAACAGGCACTAATGTGTCCACTTCGATCGGAACATCTAATGTGATCCCTTCGAATGCACAGTATGTTGCATCTTCAACCAGTAATATAGCCACCAATGGAGTAAGTGGCATATCAACTAATAGTTCGACCTTAGGAAATACTGGAACCATTGGTTACCCTGGGGGATTCGTTCCACCATCAGGGACACAATCCCATTTCGCCACTCCACTAACTAGACCACCCGGTTTCGATGGAAATAGAACCAGAAATTCCTCTTATGGAATGCCAACATCCTTTATGGCAGGTTTACACAATTCCACATCGAATTCATCCCCACAATTAGGGTCTGGGTCTGGGGCGAATCAGTTTATGACAAATAACCAAGGGTCAGTGGGTTATAGCACAATGCCTATTTTAACCACAGAAAACCAATTGACTTTTAGGCAATTGATGGATGACAGTAACCATAATATGATAGGGGTGTTAGCACAAACCATGCAGGAGATATTTGCCCCAATAGTGCAAAATGTGACTGTGACAAACAGGGAAAACGCTGACAACATGAGTTGAATAGCAGATTTCTTTGCTCCCCCAGAAAGGCGTAGGCAGAATCAGGCGGGATTTCGAGCAAACATGCCTGTTATAGAACAAATTGCTAACGACCCAATTTATAGACCACCCAGAGAAGAAGTTAACTTAGGGGCCAGGGCACCAAGGTTAGAAGCCCCAATAATCCCAGGCCCACAAAGAGAAATTATGGAACCAGGGGCAAGGGTCGAAAGGCTAGAAGCCCCAGAGTTTCGAGAAGAACAACCTAGGGGAGTTGTCTTGGTTGGTCGAAATCAAGATGCCGGTGCTGTCGTTCATAGAATTCGAAACGATAACATCTTGGCAGAAAACAATCTAACCACCATGATAGAGAGAGTCATGGCCCAGAATAGCCTCAACACAGGAATGAGAAGGCCAAATTATGCTTCTCCTATATTGGATT